TAACATCGGGATGAGCTTATATCTTTAAAAATGTCAATATTTCACAAGATACAAGGTCATTTCTTAAATATTTACATTTTTAAAGATATAAGCTCATCCTGATATTACACCTATAAAGAGCTTTCATTTGAGTATCCATCATGAATTTTTGTATATATTTTTCATATACATATATATATATATATAAAAATCGATGTGGGTACTCAAATGAAAGGTCTCGATGAATGTAACATCAGGATGAGCTTATATCTTTAAAAATGTCAATAGTTCTCAAGATACAAGGTCATTTTTAATTATGTATCCAGAAATGCAGCCTAAATACTAATCATAATAAATTTACTATCAGTGAGAATAATATGAAACCTTGAAAAGGCATGAAATCAAGTCAAGATTTTTGCAATGACACTAAATTTCACTTGAAAAAACCGATTTTATCATATGACTATCCTGGCGACAAAATTTTTCTTATTCTCTTAGACTGAAATAAAAAAATTCTTGACGTGTAAATTTTCTTGGCTTAAGAAAATATTAAAGAAGGTTGAAAATTTCTTGAATGAAGTCAAAGTTTCTCGAGCCTACAAAATTTTTTCTTGCTCCAAAATAACTTTCGTTTTTTTTTTAAATTTTTTTGGCGCAAAAGAAATTTGTTTTTTGTGTGTAGTAATATAGATTATTGTGATATTTTGTCAGGAATATTTTGTCTAGAATTATTAACATGTATCATTAAAAAAACATATAATTTTCTATTTAAAAAAAAAAGAAAAAAAAAATTAATTAAATTTTTTACAATGAAATATAATTTTATTAAAAAAAAAAAAATTTTATTATTCATAAAATAAAAAACATTAAATTTTTTATGAAAAAAAAAATTTAATACCAATAAATTTACAGATCCAATGTCAACATCAAGCACATTTATATCAACGTGCAAGTGAAATTCATGCAGCAGCTAAAGAAACGGTCGCGTTAGCTGAAGCGAGATTTATATCACACAGGCACGAGTGGAATTTCGATCAAGCATGGCAGGATATGTTGAATCACGCGACTATAAAAGTAAACAATTATTAATATTGTTTATTAAAAAAATTATTTATGTTTCTGAAAATTTATATTGAAAAAAAAAAATGAATAATGAAATTATGAAAAAAGGTAATGGACGCAGAAAATCAAAAAGCCGAGTGTGGAAGAGAGCACCACCGTAAAGCAGTTTTGTTCCACGACGCAGACAAAAAAGCCCAACAGCTAGAGGAGAAGTACCGGCGTGCGATAATAAAAGCTCGCCCGTACTTTGAGGTCCGTGCGAACTGCGAGCAGAAACTGGCGCAACAAAAGGAAAAGGTCCAGTGCTTGGAGAAGGCGGTGAAGGAGGCGAAGCGAGCGTATGCGGAAAGCTTTCAAGCCTTGGAGAAAATAAGCAACGAAATACACCAGCAGAGGAGGGAGCTCTCCATAATGGTTAATGGTCCACGCGAACCGGGTGTCGGCGCGGAATTAATTACGCCCGACGGCAGCTTGGATTACAAAGACGAATTGAATAGAGTTACTGCCGGTAGATTAGATTCGCTCACCAGCGAGACTGATTCCGATGAGCGGGCGCGTGATATCGAGGTAACTTTTTTATTTTTATTAATATTTTACGTGCTGGACGATGAATTTACTAGAACAAGTAATAGTAATCTGACTGGGCTATAAGATTAATTGGTTGTGTAATGTGATATTTAAGGGTTGTACGTACTTGGAATTTTTTTAAAATTATCTTTTTTATACTGGAAATTATATATTTAAAAATGTACATGAAAAATTATATAGATATCATATTTAATTAGGATAAAGTACATGACATTAAAATTAGCTATCACTTGACAATTTTTTAATTTTATTTGACAAAAAGATTTTTTTCAAAAAGTTATTTTAAAAAAAATTGCATTTTTTATTTTTTAAATTTCTAAATGTCAATTTTTTTTTCTAATTTTTTTTTGCCATTAAGGTAAAAGCCCCTATTATTGACATGTTGTTTTATTTGATTGATTATTTAATCAATTTTATGATTAAATCACAATAAACATTGCTTTTTATTAATTTTTAGAAATTTTTTAGTAAGAAAAAAGTAAAATTTTATGCCTGGGTATTAATTATTAACTGCAAAAAAATTTTATTTTTCCGAGTAGACCACTACGGCTAGTTTATTTAAAATTTCTTAACAATTTCGCTAAGAGAGAGTGTATTTTAAATAGCGAATTTTTCTATATAATTCTGATAAAAGCCTATCATCCAAAATTATTTGA